TTGAAGATGACTCCGATGCCGTCCGGGCTAGAAAGGGCAAATATGGAGCCCCTCACATTTCCTCCACCGGGAAAAGCTTTTTTGTGGAAAGCGATGTCCGGCAGAGTCGCCTCGTACACAGCTCCAAAAGGGTTGTTGGCGGTGACTGCAGCATCTCCGAGTTCCTGACATAGTATTGTTAGCGGGTGCGGGATGAGGATGAAGAGCGAAGTCACGAACGCTAGACGGCTACAAGCCTCACCATGTTTCCCCCGCATGCATGCAAATTAGGATCTCGCGACACTACCCTCTGACACCCTGACAGGGATTGATCTTGGACATCTTGCTGATCTCCTTCAGAATGCTCTTAGTCTCTTCCGAACTGTTAATCTCGCCGTCTTGAAGATAATCTAAAAGAAGATACAAAGAGGTACTTCGTCGTTTGGCAGAGGAGTACAGGTGAGTCGATGCAAGATGGAATGATGGGGCTTGGATTCTGCATGACATCTGCCCCGCGTAAAACAGTACGAGGTCTTGAAATCTGTTCAAAGGTTTGGACTCAATGGGTTTAGCTCTGCATCAAGCAATACGGGATCTTGGAAGCTGTTCAAAGCTTTAGACCAGATAGGTTTAGCCTTGCATAAAGCAGTATAGTATCTGGAACACTTTTCAAAGCTTTGGACTTAAGGGGTTTAGCGTGCTCCCAGGGGTGTGTGCCCCTGCCCTGGCCAAGCTTCGACCCTCGCATGTTGAGGCCAGCCGCGCCAAAAGGACGGCATTGACGAGATGGCGGATAAGTCGAAGTCAAAATTATCGGAGTTAACTTCATCGTTGAATTTTGATAGGTCGCTGAAGACATTCTTGCCTCCACCGCGGGAAGAGAGGACGCGAGAGGTCCGCAGACCGTGCAGTGCGAGGATGAGATCGAGAGTCAGGTTCTGAAGCCCTGCATCATGATTAGCCGGATACTTCCACAACAGCCAGTAAGTCATACCCTCTCGCGCAAGCTGATCAAACGCGTCTGGAGTGCAAGATATGCTCTTGTCTTCACAGATTGAGATGAAGGAAGCACGAAAAGCATCAAGACCGATACCAATAATATTTCTGTTTCAAACCATGTCAAAAACATGTCCAATGCTCGGAGTGCTGGCGTAGAATGACCAGGCTAGCACCAGCGAGTGCTTACAATCCCTGGGGATTCGAATGTGGTCCGAAGTTGATTTACGGTCATGCTCTTGCAAAAGACGCGAGCGAATAGAGGAAATTATGAAGCAAATACCCGGAGGTTGATTCTACTGTATGCACGTTCCATAGCTTCCGTAGTTTAGTCAAGCATGCGCTATATATGTATCCTCGCGCAGAACCTGTGGATGGAATGCCAAGCCAAACCATTCAAAAATTGATGGAAAGTAAAGAGCCGTGCGCTTGGGCTTCACTTCGACCAATCAGGTTACAAATATGGCTACTAGCAACGGCCATATCGCAGCTTCAACCTCATATGTTGATTCTGGCGATGCGAGGTTAATGATGGCCTCACTATTCATAGCAAATGCTGTTCCTATAATTCCTCTATCGATGGCTGTCGTGATTCGCGTTGCCTCGAACAGCCAGCGTTGACCCAGCGACAAAATCTACGTGCCAGTTGACACCACCTCCTGCAGGCGGTTGCATCTCGCCAGGCGGCTTCGCCAGCATTGAACATAATTAGTATATCGAGATGATGGTATGGAACAGCCATGAGCCCATATGGTATCATCCCCTTGCAGTGGGATTATCCGCCCTGGGGTGGACTTACCGTACCAGCCAACGCGTAGTAGCCCGCCATCCATCCTCAACCCCGGATCCCTGAATCCGATGTCGTCGCATGCGTCGTTGTCACTGTAAATAGTTCGCGGACCAAGGGAATTACTGTTCCAAGGCAAGGCCTCCAGACATGGGTACTATACACAGATCAGATTCGAACTGCGGGTCACAAGTGATCCGTGCACTCACAGATTCGGTCTTGTCAAGGTCGGCATGCTA